ATATGTTTGTGGAAACTTTATTTGTAACTATCCTTGTAAAATGTGACTTTTTACATGTAGGGTCTAACTTTTGTTTATTAAACATACAGTAATAGACTATTATGCCAAACCTGCATATAATATATAAAATTAATAAAGCTGTATAGGCAGCTGTCTCTTATACACATCTACACGATGGCGTGTATTGCGATACTTTCGAGTATGTATTATACCATCTTACCTGAGATTAATCAGTGGACTTTTCGGTTATGATTGTTTCCATATAGCGGATAATCACTCTACAGACTTTTTCATGCTAATGCAATCTTCAGGAGTGAGAGAATACAAGGATGGTGTGAGTATATGAATGCTAAGGCAGGTGAAAATGCAAATGAGTTAATTGTTTTTAAGTAAGTATTTGTTGTTGTGCCTGCATTTAGACAATAGCTCGGTTCTTTTGTTTAGTATTGACTGTTTGTCTGAATATAATATATGTGAAGTTTTTCGGTTATGCATAGGTTGCAGCGTTTTGTTTTTGGGGAGTAAGCCGATGCTCTGTCGAAAATAGACCATTTGATATTGTAGGGTGTGTTGCTGTCTTTTAATTTCCATACGTATTTGTAGAGTACAGTGCTGTTTGTGTGTTTGGGGGTGTTAAAAGTGTATTTGTGGTTTGTGTATCGGGTTTTGAATGGTGTGTCAGTGAGCCCGATGTAGCATTTTGTGTCATCATTTGAGTGGAAAGTGGCTTTGTAGATGATGGACGAGGTGAGGCAATTTCCAGAGAGTGGACATTCATCTTTTTCCTGCAATTGCAGAGTTTATCTGGCTGTTGTTGCTTAGCAACCAGAAGCTGTTTGTTGTGGGCTCTGATTATACTGCCCATGTTTCTTGAGCAGCTATAGCTGACTTTAACATTGTTGTTGTTGAACAGCTTGTGCTGTTGCCACTCGGAAAACGTTTCTTTACGAGGTTAAGGAATGATTTTCCGATGTTGGTTTTAACTCCTTTGCTGAATGGTGGGTTGTACCAGATTATTTGTCTGCTTCTATTACTTTGGCTGGTATTCCATTTTGTGCTGTAATCCGCTGTTTTGCAGAGCTTGTTCGTAGTCAGGGGCGGCCTGATGAAATGATTCACTGGAATCCGATATACTGGATATGCGTCTGTTAATGGATGCGGGAATTTGTTTCAGGATAGATAGGGGATGGTTGGATTTGGTGTTGACGTAGAGTAGTTGGTTGTTTGGTTTGTTGTAAGGCTTGAAGGACCCGTTTTTTAGGCTGAGTGTAACATCGAGGAAGTTGGTGGTGTGGATGTTCGCCTGTATGGTGATACGGAGGTCAATTGCGTGGAAGATGGATATAATAGTTTTCTTCATTTTGTCGCATTGCCTTGGTGATAGACTGTTCATGACGGCGAGGCCATCATCTCGGTAGAGACCGACGTTGGGTTTGCCGAGTATTGGGATGAGGGAGGAGAGAACGAAGGATCCGACAACAGGGGCGGATCCAGAGATGTCCAAAAGGGGGGCCGAAATTTGGGCCGATCGAGACAACAATCTCGTAGGGGGTCCGGGGGCATGCCCCCGCGAAATTTGTGTGTTCTAGACGCCCGAAAATAACATTTGAGGCGTTGTGGGCTATCATTTTTTTCTTTTTCTTTCTTTTTTCCTTTTTTTTTCTTCTTTTTTTTGGGGGCCGGGGCCGGGGCGGCCCCCCTAAATCCGCCCCTGGAAATGACTAGGTGGCAGTTCGCATATTTCGGCCCCGTCGAAGCTTCCCATAGTAACGTCAAACATGTCATCCGAGTTTTTCTTGGTCCATGTTGAATTTTTACCAAAGGGAGCCTCGCAAAATAAAGCAACGCGTATACGAGTGGACCACGCGATGCGTGGCTGTTTAATCCCATAGTTGGCCTCGCGTTTGGATTATTTTCCTGGGCTACTCCACTTCGTAGTGGGGAATTGATAACAGGCTTAGTGTAAAAACCCAATTAACACAAACAAAAAGTCTCGTATAAAAATAAACCCTGTTGGAAGTAACGCAAGCTCACGTTATATTTCTGAGAATTACATTAATAATTTATCGAGATTATCGTCACCGTTACGATCAAAACCAACAGACAGCAGAAATACAAACTGACTAGGAGAGGCCTAGGACATAGATATTATACCTCCATGGATAGGCCTAGGATTTGGCTTACTCAGAAAAATTACAGAGTAAAATTAAAAATCGAAAACAGGCAATTTTTATGAATATTTGTTAGGCCTAATTATATCTTTTTTACAGTTAGTCTTTAATATTGTCATTTCTTATATCGTTTTAGTATTAATTAAGATTATTAAATAAAACTGTCTAGGACGACAGGCAGATATCGGTCTACAGTAGGCCTACATTCGATCATGAACGTAAATAGGGTACACTTCCTTTCAGTGTTAGCGAAATACAAAAAAAAAAATATTGAACTTCATATTGGTACCTTTATCTGATATAAATGTGAGCAGGTGTCCTAGGCCTATATGTTATCTATTTTAATATTGATTAATCTGGAACTTTGGTGGAACAGTATATCCATTGTATGTGACAAGAAACGTTTCAAAAAAAGCAAAAACAATTTTCTCCAGCTAGCAGTTACATGCACTGCTCTCACCCCTTTCTGCCGATGAAGCACATGTTTTGATGCGGCACAAACCTAGACTCTATTCTATTTCAATGTTGATTAATCTCGAAGTTTCGTGTAAAAGAATATATTTATTATATATGATTATCAGGCTCTTTAAAAAAGGTATTGTATTGTATACAGTACTGTAAAATATTGTTTTCTCCGTGTATTCTCTATATTGCTGTTCAATGTATTGCTTTCACCCCTTTTTAAACAGCGAAGCACATATTTTGTTACGTTGTCGATTAACCATGGCCTCTACCATTCCATATGGGTTATTAAGTTTATAATAATTTTTCAAAATAATTAAATTTAAAATGTATAATCATTATATCGTTTTTAAACGCTTGAATGTACCAAATGACCATGTTATTTTACTACAGGGATTTTAATTTCATTTATAAAACGCACTGGTAATGTATAAAAGTAGTTTTCAATTGTTGATAAGCCACGGCGTATCAAGTGGACTTGGAACGTCTTCCTTGCAGTGTACTGCATCGCCGGCTGGACGGAAGTTTAGGGCATCTGTGCAGCGTGACCACTGCTTGGGTATTTACCCAAGATCTTGGGTATTTTGACTTGGTCTTGGCTTCTTGGGTATTCCGTTCAAATCCTTGGGTATTTTATTTTTACTGAGAAAATTAAATATTTTTGTCATAGAGGAAGAATTAAGAAGTAACAAAGTATATTTCAGTCCACTCAAGTAAGCAAAACTCAACGAACACATAACATTGTTATTGTTAATTGACTGTTAATTGCTATAATCATGGGTTCAGAATTGTTTATTTGTGATTTGCGTTGCCATTGATTTTACCTAATTAATGCATTACATAATAAAACTTGATCACTGATCTACTGATAACACTGCCCGACTGAGGGCGTATTTTTCTATCCGTATTATCACCTCATGAATATTAATTTTAATAATTAACACAAACAATTACAATAATAAATTGTTTATAAATTGAACTAAAAGGGGAACCATACATGCGAAAAACATGTACTTTTTAAATTTTAATGCATTTTCAGGAAGCTTGGGTAATTTTGGGCAATTTTTGCCAAATCTTGGGTAATTTCGACCCAGTCATTGGGTAATTCAAAAATTGTGAGTGGTCACGCTGCATATGTGGTTTTGACATACTCTATGTTCTATCAAAGTAAAAGTTAGACGCTTGACTCTGGTCCTGTACTCAATGGGCTATGGGATATTTACTGAATTACGATCTCTTAACATATTATCATTATTTCATTCTTTAAATTGCTTTGATCTATTGTCTATAATTTGTTCCGATATAATAGTTGGGAATAACCTTGCGTTTAAAATATATTATGGTAGGCCTATATCAAAAATATGTGTACAATAGGCCTACTATTTCTAGTCCTATTAATAATAAAGTACAGTGACCGCCAATAAATACTCAACATATACGATGAATATCAGAATTTAGTGGAGTAGGCTAAGCTAAGGTAGCATAATTTTTCCCCCATTTATTTTCATTCATTCTCTGTAGGTCATTTTGAAAACAGACATTGGGCCTGGGTGTAGAGGAATGGTGTTTTCAGATACGGTAGCCATTTTTTGGCCTAAATTATTGTTGTTCAACTTCCAAAATAAAAAAAAAAAAAAAAAAAAAAAACTAACAAAAGAAACAAAAAAAAAAAAAAAACACTAAATAAAAGCATTGTGTTTAGATCAGATTATCATACAAGCATATACAAGCGACTTGTACACAAACACAGTAGATCTTGATCACTAATTAGACCTATGTTCATGTACTAAAGTGTTTACGCTAATTAACTTTAATTTATGTTCTACTGAATGAGCTGTTCTTGTTTGATTTTTAATCTCTGCGCCACCTACTTTCTGTTTTGCGTTATCTTGATTCATCAGTTGAACGATGTATGTGCTGGATTACATGGCACCATTTACAGAGGACCTAGTTGCATAGTGTGCAATGTGTAACCCATGAAAAAAATTGAGGTCCATTATTACACATTAATATTTTCTTAAATGATGTAATTTTTAGCACCGCTACCTCTGCGTTGCGTTAATAACTTTAACAGACTTAAAAAATGGGGATTCATCAATTGAATTACCTTGTGAACAATAAAAATTAAAATGATATATATATATATATTTTTGCTAATTAAAACGCATAATGCATAATTATGTTTCTTGATTTTTTGAAAACCTCCTCTCAACTTTATGAGAGGAGGTTTCGTTTTATTAAGAAGTTAGACCTTCCTCAGTGAGATTGATTGTAACGATCAGAGTCCAAAAAGAAGTTAATAATTTAGAAAAAAAAAAACAGCTTGTAAAAAAGACTCTCTAAATAAATTGACAACTGATTTCAGGGTTTTGGTTGCAAATAAATTTATTATATAAAGTGAATGCACATAAAAATTCCAAGAGAGGAGATAAATTCATAAACCACAATGGTATAATGTGAAAAAGGCCATTGGACAATATAATAACCACTCGGTTATATATTAGAAAATGGGAATGAATGAGCTTGAAAAGATTAGAGATTATAATTATACAGATAAATAAGTATTAAGTAATGGTATAATAATTCATAATAGTTCATGTGCACAGAAATATTTCTGTTTGAAAAAAAAAGACGGCAGTGGCAAAACTGCCTCCTTAGCCGACCCTAAATTATCTCCTGAATTGGGACTGGACTGTGCAGTGTTAAGGTATTATTCTTCTCTACTCCCAAATAATAATACACTTGACAATAGACAGGTTATAGAAAATAGTTGTAGGATACCCATAATTGCTCAAACTTAATGTCTGCATTAAGAATCATCATTATCAAAGTTTGAAATTAAAATATTTTTCCTTGTTCTTGTTGTCAATAAACGCGGTCGAGTTGATCAGTTCTAGCACTTCTTGACGCCTATAAAAGAAAATTAAAAAATAATCAATATTAGTCTTATGTCAAATTAGTGTGCAAGACGCTGTATTTATTTACCTATTTATTAAAATAACGCCTCAGGGTGTTTACTGTTGAGAAGGGTTTTCGAGGGGGGCGTTAAGTCAGGGAGGAGTTTATTTTTTAAATGTACAATTGATACGCATATACTCAAATAAACGCCACTAATATTAGTGTAAATGTGGAATAATTACTGTCAAATATTTCAAAGACTTATTGATTCCAATCAGGTTAGAAAAAAATGTAATTCTACTGGAATAGAACATAATAGACTGTATTGAGAATGATGTTGCTTCAATTAGATTTATTTCGCTTCGGGGCTAATAAAAGAACGAATATTGTTGTGAGAAGAAAATCTTTGAATTTCAAAATATATATATCACTAGAATCAATGCCGTAGCCAGGATTTTCAAACTGTGTGGGACAATATCAGGGTGGACCCACTTTACGCGTAAATTCAAATAAATGTGGATCCATTTGCTTAAAAGTTAACCCATGTCAAGCAAAAACATGAATAATCTGGATCCATTTTCTTCAAAATTAACCCATTTTATGCAAAATATGAGAGACATCTGGACCCATTTTTTTTAAATTTGATTGATTTTACACAAAATATAAGAAATCTAGACCCATTCTTAAAATGTGGACCCATTCTTTGTGGACCTAATTGAAAAAATATGTGGGACTGTCCCAACTGTCCCAATAGCTGGCTACGCCATTGACTAGTATCGATGGAAATAGTATAGTCAGATTTGTATAGAACTTTAACCGAAGTCTAAAATTACTAGCGTACCATTCGAATGGTCGAATGGTACGCTAAAACGAATGGTACGCTAGTAATTTTAGACTTCGGTTAAAATTACTAGCGTACCATTCGACCTTTCGAATGGTACGCTAAAATTACTAGCGTACCATTCGACCATTCGACTCGAATAAATGGCCGAGCCGTTGCATGTCGATACAGGCCATATAGACCCTACACTGCGGCTGTCACGGGTCTTCAACAGTCCAGACATATTAAATTTTCAATACCAAATATTGAAAAATTGGACAAAATTTTAACAAATTATACTCACACTCGTACAAAACGTCCAGATACTTGCGTGTTCCGACACAGGGGTCACCAAAAACACCGTTTGTAGCAGAGATACTACACGATCTTTTTCCTTCGCAGTACTGTATGGCCCTAGACATTGATTTTTGCGAAATGCACGTCGTGTCTTGATATCTCATTGAGGAGGTCGAACAGCGCTTAGAAGTTGAAACAGAGCGTCCGTAGGTGGCGCAATGAATTTTAATTTTGCGGTTGAACGGACAGCTGATGCTCACTCTGCCATTCTCACATGTGCCCAATTTGCGGATGACTGCATCTGTAAATTTAATCACTAGGCCTATTAGTATAAATCAATCAATAATTTAGATAGACTTTAGAGATCAATAAGATACACCCTTATATATATATATGTATATATGTTTGTATATATATGTATATATGTTTGTATATATATGTATATATGTATATATGTATATAAGTATATGAAAATATATATATATATATATATATATATATATATATATATATACGAGCTCTCTCTTATACACATATATATGTGTATATTTTAATTTTGCGGTTCAACGGACAGCTGATGCTCACTCTGCCATTCTCACATGTGCCCAATTTGCGGATGACTGCATCTGTAAATTTAATCACTCGGCCTATTAGTATAAATAAATCAATAATTTAGATAAGCTTTAGAGATCAATAAGATACACCCTTATATATATATATGTATATATGTTTGTATATATATGTATATATGTTTGTATATATATGTATATATGTATATATGTATATAAGTATATGAAAATATATATATATATATATATATATATATATATATATCTACGAGTATCTAAAGATATACTTTACAGCAAACAGTATGCATGTAAATAATTTAGAGATAACGATGGATACTAATCAGCTCATACAATGGGTGTAGTTATTGTTTTATATTTTATTTACTTGGTGAACATACGCCTTTAGATCGGCACTCATGAATGGTGCGTTCAACTTAAATACAATTCATTTGAGTTACTGTACTTAAATATTGTACATTTAAATCTAATTAAACATAATTAATACAAACTTTAAAAATAACAGAAATTGACAAATTAAATAAAGAACTTTAGATTAAATAATACAATGGTACAAGGAGCTATTAATTATTTGTGAAATAAATAAATAAATACACAGTATTAGTGTAATTAAGAAAAATAAAGTAAATAATACTAATATATTAATAATACAATTAATATTCAAATAAAATGAACGAATGTACATAAAAAATGTAAGTCGCAATAAATAGAGCCTGAAGTGGAACATTGACATCTAAATACTGTAGATCAAATGGCTCTACAGCGATTAAGCAAACAAAACGATTAAGCCATTAAAATAAGTATGAATGCAATAAGCGATGAATATTATATAAATCAATATTCCAAGTTATAAATGTAAATATTATAAACTAGAGGAATATGAAATAGAGAAATATAAGACTTGTGATGTACAGTAGAGTGTTAAAACATTATTTTGTGAATGTGAAGCCTGAAGCAAAACCTAGGTCCAAATTAGCTCCTATTTTATGAGTCCAAAGTCTCCAAATCCCTTTAATTTCTGTACATTTTCTTTAGTTGAGACACCTAAAGTTGTTTGCTAAATTGATGCATCTCATATCATTAATGGTGTGCCTAGCACCTTTACAGTGTTCAGTTAAAGGAAGATTAAATCTGTTTCTTATAGATTATTGATCTTTTGGCTGAATGTGCAGCCACTTTCTTCGACGTAACATACCATCTTACACACGGTACACCATATAAGATATGATATAAATGAGCATTGCAGGTGAGCGAAGGGGGTCTGATGGCGATTTAGTGTTAGGTACATGGATGAGAGACTGTCTCTTATAAGGATTTGGCAAATATTGCATATCTGGGATTACCGCAAGGTTTGTTGAATGGTTGGGAACTTGGGGTTCCTAGAAAGCTTCAGTGTCAGTTATATTATATTTGATAATTTTGAAATCGTTACCTCTATATTGTTTACACGTATACTGTTTGCTGTAATGTGTAGGTAGCGGGTACGAAAATTTCATACCAATAAAAATTAATGTCTCAATTGAAGTCAAATGGTCTTGCAGTACTTTTATATCTGCCACCCATTCTACATGAGAATACTGGAGTGGTATCAGTAGGCCTATATATAGGTTTACTTGGTCAGGTGGTGAGAGGATTTGGAACCGTGACGAAATATTTTATTTAACACCATGGTTAAGCAAGAACTTCTTTTCGTGTAGGCATTTGGATATAAATTCCGTTCGTTTGAAGTTTAACACATGTACAAAGTGATACTAGTAATATAAATCGAGAACGTTGATTGGCCTTGAATGAAAGAAAACAAAAGAAAAATATCGTTCTGATTTGCCAAATACATTAAGGCAACAAATTATATTTAGAATGTAACAAAATTAAAATGGGTTTGTTTACTCACCGCTGCTCAAGAAAAAAGCTGCTAAGACACAGATTACAAGAAGGATCTTCATGGTTGGCAAAAGTCTAGTTTAACACTGGGAACGGTACTGGAGAAGAAGTAAATGTTATAAGGTACGTTAATAATTGGACCTTCACTAAACTCCTTTCACGAATAGGTGTGTCGAATTAGTGAATTGATTTAAGGAAAAAATGTGGTGAAAATTATGTCAACAAGATAACTGTGAAGAACAGTTGTATTAAGATTAATTTCAAGAAGAAATGTGAAAAAGATAAATCTTCAAATAAAAGAAATACAGAAACAGCCAACCAGCGACCTTCTTTTTATTATGCTTAAGAAAAAAACAATATGAAGTTTTAATTAAATGATTCCCATTTATTACGTACCACTGTCAATATACAACCGTACATATACATACGCTATATATATATATATATATATATATATATATATATCACTGTAAAAAATGAACTGTATATAAAACATTACATATATACATATATTGTCTCTTATACACATCTAGATGTGTATAAGAGACAGGTATATATGTATATGAGTATATGAATATATATCTGCAGCAGTCGTAGAGGGCGCTAGATAACTATATTTTCGTTTATGGTTTGGAATATTATTTTTAAAAGGATAGGACAATATTATTATTGTTATAATTATATTTGTGTTGCTTTAGTTTATTATATCCTTTTGTCTTGTTTTTATTAGTATCATTGTATTGTATTGTTTACTAATTTCATTATTAATATTATTGGCTTTTCCCGCACCAATTTTTTGAGATCCCAGACGTAAAAATCTATAAAAAGTTTTCAATGGGTGTAAATGAAACTTTCTATAAATAGTTTGTTAAAGTCCAGTAAAGAAATGACTACATTTTTGTGATGATCCGGCGTAGGGTGTGAACTGTCTCTTATACACATCGGGGGGGGGTGTATGAATTGAAACGTAACAGAAGAGGAACCTGACAAAGAAAGAACAAATATTCAGCCGACAAATTTACTTATGATGCAGGATAATTGTAAAGAGCAATTGTATAGTTTATCTTAAGAAGAAGTTTGATCAGACCAAAGACAACTTCTAATTCTTATACTTAACTAATAGGCGCAGGACTATAAGCCGAAATAGATATAATATTTGAGTTTTGGTCGGCCTTCGTGTATTTAATTGATTCCCATCAAACATATACCAAAATAAACAAATGTTTGTAATAATAGAAGAATTTGATTTTTAGAGAATTAAAAAAAAAAATCTCAGCTCCACCTGAAATCGAACTCGAGACCTTCCGCTTACACGGCGAACGTCTTACTAATTAAACCATGGAGGATTTCGTCGGTTGATTCAATTGATCCGGTTGTCACTGAGAGCTCTTTGTGGTTGTGGCAATACGTAAATTGATTGACTGTATTATATTGAGGTGATATTTGTTTTCAATATATGATTAAAGAGAACAAAAAATGGAGGGAAAAAGATTTTGGAGGCTGCCAATATTTTAATTGTTCGCACGACCGGCCATTTATCCCTCCATGTTTCTGTACAAGTTCCAGCCATGTGGCCCTAGTCTATACTATTTAATTTTTACTACTTGAAATAATTTTAACAAAATTATATTTGATTTATTCAATATGCTCTTTAAAAATACAAAACAGAAACAAATGAACATTAACAGATATAATCACAAAAGAGCATATCGGGGATAACCCTAACCTTGCGGAAAAAAAGAGGGAAACAAGAAGCTAACGTAGCCTATTTCTCTTTCAGTGCAACTCCATGTACTGTATAAACCTTTTTGATAATTGTTTAAATTATAATTATATAATACTTCTAATGTTTCCGACGATACTATTTCTACATGAATTTAATTATATTATTGTTAGTGCTATTGTCTTATCTACTCTATATCCTCACCTTGATAATGGTTGCCGAAAGTACGAGGGTGACGAAAATATTGCTTATCGAAGCAATTCTGACGACTGGGGTGTGTGCGTGTGTCTGTGTAGGCTTATATAGGCCTACCCAATATTCCGAAACCACGCAAATGAAGAATTTCGTAGTCGTTTCACATTACCCGTCACTATATGTTTTATATGTCCTAATTATTATCACTAACATACTCTCCATCTCTCCATTTTATTTGAATTAATTAATATTAATTAATATTTTTCGTCCGACTGGATTTTCATGCACGCCACTCATCTAGTCCGATGCCAAACAACAATGATTAGATTAAATTACTAATTGGCTTTTCCCAGCAGTACTGGAAAAAGCCATTGTTTTTGTTCTGATTTTTGGCTTTTCCCAGGGGTACTGGGAAAAGTCATTGTTGTTTGTTCTGATTTATTTTATATATATATATATATATATATATTTTTTTTTTTTCTTGCATATATATCTTTTTGCACTGTTTTTTTTTCTGCCGTACACTTTAGCCACTACCCTTGCTTAAAATTTTCCGTGCTTTTCCGAAGCATAGGCCATATATCAAGGATGTGCCTCCTAATATTTAGTGTCAATCTATGGTGGGGTATGCGTGCGAGGACCAATTAAAGTGATTTAAGGTCAAACAGTCTACACCGAATATTTAAAAAAACCGATCAGTTGATGTGAATTAAACTTACGGGAAAGTTTAATAAAGTTACAAGGAAGAAATTTTTATTTGTTAGTGACAATCCAGTGAAGGGTGTAAATTGTAGCATCTTCTGAATTTTTGAGGACCCAGACCTAAATATCTCTTTAAAAAAAACCAGTGGGTCTTGAAACATTCTATAATACTTTGTAAAGGTCTTGTAAAAAAAAATGATTAAATTTTTGTGACGAACAGTAGTATGGTGTGGAACTGAGGACCATTGAAAGGAAAACGTCCCAAACAAACTATTTCTAAAAACGGATCAATTGATCTGAATGAAACATTCGGAAAAAGTATAACCAAGTGACAAGGAAAATAGTATTATGTGCTGGCGAGAAATCAGTCAATGGTGTAAGTTGGAGGGTCATTTAAATTTTTGAGATCCCAGACGTAAATATCTTTTAAAAAAAAAATTTCAATATGGTGTAAATGTAACTTTCTATAATAGTTTGTAAATACATAGTAAAGAAATGACTACATTTTTGTGATGATCCGGCGTAGGGTGTGAATATGAGGACCATTTAAGGGAAAACATCCCAAACCAAATATTTTAAAAACGAGTCAACTGATCCGAATTAAACTTTCGGGAAAGTTTAACAAAAATTACAAGGAATATATTAATGTGCAGGGAACGATCCAGGTTATGGTGTAAATTTGAGGGTCATTTAAATTGCTTACGTCCCAGTTATAAATGGATAGAAATATCACTTTGCAGAATAGTTTTTTCATGGTGAAATGAAGAAACGATCCAATTTTGGTAACGATTCGCAGTAGGGTGTGGATATGAGGACCATTTAAAGATGTTTTTCTGACAGTTGAATAAATTATTTAAACGCAGTTTGCGTTTTTAAAAAACGTTTAAACCAGTTACAGCTAGGTTAAACTCAAAACTACCGTGTATTGCATGAACAATGTTTGCTTTCATTCATTGAATCGCTATGAACTAAAAATTCACTTTCCCCTATGCTATGAACTGAAAATGCAATTTCCTATGCATAAGATCGGTTCATATAGTGCGCAATGGTAATGAGCGATGTGCCTCGCTATTACCATTGCAGCCATAGTTTAAGTCTCACTAATAACGTCGCAGTGAATTTTGTTTTAGTGGTTTTTTTTCCACTTCATTTTTTCTACTTCATTAAAATTATATTGGTTTTCTGTGTATTTTTTTACTTTATACCTTTTAACGACTTTTCTTTTTGTTGCAATTTTAACTTCATTTCTCATTAAAACAGTTGGGAAAAGCCCTATGTTCTGTTGTTCAAACAGACATAGCAAGTCTATTTTAAAAATGCCATTGATACTTTACAATAGAAATATTTTACATGTTTATTCTGAACCATCGAATGTTTCTTCCCTGGGGCTTTTTAGTATTAGGACACCAATCGGGCAGGTAATCGGTTGTAAGTTGAGCTCGTAATTGCTCGTTCTGCTCGGGACGTGAAAAGGATAAAACATATTTCAAAGCGGTCTTTCACAACATTAGGACTGGGGGGACAGTAGATTCACTCAAATTAGTCTTTATCTAATAAAAACAGATGATTTTTTTCTCTGATGTTTGTCATTGCACCCTGACAGGGGCCTTTTCCGGCTTGGACTCGCTTCACTTTACTATAGTATTTCCATCACTAACCACTTTACCGCCTATGTCAACATCATTACCCATCCGTCTTCATCGTCAGTTGTCATCAACATATTATCATCGTCATCACCATCATATAATTATTTATTCTAGGCAAACAAACTGTTTCTGAGCAGGACCTGAGCTTGATCCTGTGGAAACGCAATTCATTTCAACATTAAACCTCCACTCATAAGTTGATTGCCCCGATTCTTATTGCTTTATATACCTCTATCACCTTGCAGATCTGTCCATGGAGGAATACCTTCAAGCCTGTCTACCACTAATACGGACGGGGCCGTGCCCGTTTTACAATTTTGAAAAGTAAAAATAAAAAGAGAAAGAAAAAGAAAAAAACTGATAATCAAAAACGTCTCAGATGTTATTTTCAGGCGTCTAGAAAACAACAATTTTTCGGGGGCTCCTAAGGTAGTGTTGTGTCGATCAGACCCACTGTCGCAACTCCCATCCACTTCAGACATCTCTAAATCCACCCCTGATTAATAAACTAAAAATTGACTTAATAAAAACCATACAAGCAGTCTGTTATTCGAAACTCACTTGGTATTCACTTGGAAGCCTAATTCAAAAGACAGTCAATAGGAAATGCAAGGCATTTCGTACCCAGTGTATTAATAACACATGTTTTATTTATTATGTCAATCGCTTTCTTATGTATTTCACAGAACTCGTTATAATAAATTTAATATGTCTATTATATGGTATGACATTTATTATATTGGCCACCTAGACTCATCCATATTTAGGACACGGTGATAATATGATACTATAATATTTTTGTAGTGAGTCAACCGACTGTCATCCAAGTTCGTCATTAAAGGTGCTTTTAAAGTAGTCTTGTAATTAAGTACTGGGAAGGTTCTCAATTTTTCCAATAGACGAACCTGCCGAATAATTAATAGTTGGACGTCCTTTGGTTTACCAAAGAAGATCTCTATAGCAAATCCTATTAAAGTCTTCCTGTTCATCGAAAATGTATTTAATATAAGATATAATTCGTTTTCCTTTTTTAGTCACTTTATCAATATATTTGTGTCATCAATATATCTGGATATGAACCTTCTAGGTATTTATAATTTTTAACCTCAGAAATATAATCATCCCCTAATTTCCATTTTCGATACACGGTGCTGAGGCGGATGCAGGAGTGCAGACGGTGCAGTCGCCCAACCACCCCCCCCCCCTCCCGTCGGGGAGAGCTGGTCCCGTCGGGGAGAGCTAGTCCCGTCGGGGAGAAAAACCATTATTCCTCGGGGAGAATATTATATGTATTTTTTACATAGCCTCTAAACTCGATTAAATAAGCTTTGAAACCTTTAAATTGTCAAATTTTTGGGGGCTTCACTCCCTGAACCACTTTCGAGATGTGACGCTCCACCACGCCCACTTTGCTCTCGTTGGATAATCTTCCCCTTGTAGGGTTTGGCCCCCCCGCTCGTCCGGCAAATCCCGGCGCCACCCCTGTTATACATCTTTGCTACACATAAGGTTTAACACAATCCCTCTATAATTATTGACAGCACGGCGATTGACTTTTTTTTGTATTTTCGACCATCTGGTTTGATACCTGTTTACGTACATTATTATGTAAATCACAGTTATAGACATTCCTTAATTTTATTAGGCCCTTGCCATTTCAAATTATTATAAAGTGCTTTTATTGCTTCCATTGATAAATTTGGCCACCTGGACTCAACCATATTTAGGACACGGTGTTTAATAATAATATAGGCCGCTGTCAGTCATTGTTTTTCATACATATTATATAATATGTTTGTATTTCTTGCACTTTATTTATTCATGGAAGAATAACCATCCTATTTCATCTGGTTTGTTTATCACTTTTATTACAGCGGCACACACCCCAAATGATGTTGCATCCAAAAGAGAAAAAATCAACTGTAAATTGAGAAGAAATACTAACTTAACTACGATTAACATTACAAAATAAATATGGTACTTTGATATTAATTTTCTTATAGATATTTAATCTCAAAACCCAAGCTTGTTAAAGATTATTTTTACAATGTTTATCAAAGATCAGCAGAATGAAAGATTTGATCAGATCATACAAGCCATCAAAATAATATATATGATGCTTAAAATCGTTAGAACCAAAAGTGAAGTTAGTCCAGTGAGTGTCCAAGCCATGGTTATACGTAGATCTCTTCCAATTAAGAGAATGTTAAATATCTGATTAGTTTTAATTTCGAACCTTCAAAGAAAAAGTGATCTATAACTGTTAGTATAGTTACCTTCACAAATGAGGCAAAGGCATGTATTGTTAACATGTCATTATTCTCTACGGGCTTCTAAATCCAGGCAATTTGTACGAGCTTTACATTTTTAGTTGGTTCCCTTAAATGTGGTCGTATCTCATAAGTACTTCTCAAATTTTGGTTTGCCTTTATATTGTTTTGTAATTGGTAATGGACTTTTTAAGTTTCGCACATTCGAACCAGTTCTTGTTGTCTTTGAATTTATTTTGTACTTTAAATCTTTCAACCATCCGGTTTGATACCGTACATGTTGTTTCCGTACATATTATGTAAATCACAATTATATTAAGCCATTGCCATTTCAAATTATCATCGAGTGCTTTTATTGTTTTAATCCTAAATTTGGCCACCTGGACTCATCCATGTTTAGGACACGGTTATAATATCATACTCTATAATAGTGTTGGAGCGTGTCAAGCGACTGCCATCCAAGTTCGTCATAGAGGTACTTTTAAAATAGTTTTAGACGAACAGGCGAATAATTAAT